TGATGTTGAAAGGTCTGCCTTGGATTCGTATTGAAATCATTCTATCATTTTTGAGATTGTATCCCAGTACAGCTTTTCCCAGTCTTTTGTTGACTATGAGGGGTACTCCATTTCTTCTACGAGATTCTTGCCCACAATAGTAAATATGATAATCATCTGAATTGAATCCACCCATTCCCATCTATTTTAGTTCACTGATGCCCAGGATGTCAATGTCTATTCTTGCTGTCTCCTGTTTGACCACATCCAGCTTACCAAGGTTCATAGCTCTTACATTCCAGGTTCCTATGCAGTATTTTTCTTTGCAGCATCGGACTTTCCTTTCACTTCCAGGCTCATCTGCAGTTGAGCGTCCTTTCGGCTTTGGCCCAACCACTTCATTAGCTCTGGAGCTACTTGTACTTCTGCTCCACTCTTCCTCAGTAGGATGCTGGACGCCTTCCGAACTAAGGGGCTTATCTTCCAGCGTCATATCTTTTAGCCTTTGGTTTCTGTCCACGGAGTTTTCTTGGCAAAGATACTGGAGTGGCTTGCCAGTTCCTGCTCCAGGTGGATCACGTTTCATCAGAACTCTCCACTATGACTGGTCCATCTTTAGTGTCCCCGCATGGCACAGCTTCTCTGAATTACTCAAACCCCTTTTCCACAACAAGGCAGTGATCCGTGAAGGGGCATTCAACTTACAGCAACCTGAATAGGACTTTTAATGTATGTGAGAAATTTAAGATATTTTAGCAGCAAATCGTGCCCCCCAATGATTTTCTATGAATGAGCAGGGATTTGAGCCCAGTTTTTCTAAGTCCCAGTCTGATACTCTATCTTCTGCACCACACTGGCTCTCTTATAACATATAGGTACAGTGGTGCCTCGACTTACGAACATCCCGACATATGACCATTTCGAGTTACGACCAGCTCAGGCCTCAAAATTTTGCTTTGACTTGTGACCGGAGCTTCAAGTTACAATTAAAAAAAGGCAAGGGAAAAAAGTGAGGAATTCAAATTGCTAACCATTGGTAGCAAAGAGGCTGCTTCTTTGTAGCTCTTTCGACCCAACAGTTAGAGTGTGATCAGAGGAGGCTTCAGACTGCCTGGTAAGGTAAGGTGCTGCTTTCTACTTTTTAAAAACTGTTCTGGGTGGGTTTTGCAGTGTGGTTTGGGGCAGAGTGGGGGGATTATGTTTCTATGCTGTGATGGGTCTTGCAGGTATCTTTGTTTTTAGATTTTTTTTGTTTGCATTTCTGAAGGGTCTTGCAGTGTCCGTTTGCTTTTTGCTTTGCTGTTTTTGCATTTCAAAAGAGTCTTGAACTCTGTGTTTGCTGTTTGCTTTGTGTGTGTTTTTTTCATTTACAAAGGGTCTTGCACTCTCTGCTTTTTGCTTTGCTTTTTTTGCACTTCTGAAGGGACTTGCACTGCTTTTTGCTTTTCTTTTTCTTTTTTCCCTTCGGCCAGATTAATTACGTTTCCGATGGGTCTGGCAGGGTGTGTGTGGTTTTTGGTTATTTTTAAAATTCAGCCAGAGCAGATTAATTGCATTTCAATGCATTCCGATGGGAAATTTAACACGTCTACTCACTACCATTTCGAGTTACGACCGGAGTTCCAGAACCAATTAAGTTCATAAGTCGAGGCACCACTGTATTATAGATTATTTCAAAGGTTTTATTGTTCTCAGTTTTTAAAGGAAATATTAATCTGAATAAGTGATAAATTCAGCCAGAGCAGATTAATTCCATTTCAATGCATTCCGATGGGAAATTTAACACGTCTACTCACTACCATTTCGAGTTACGACCGGAGTTCCAGAACCAATTAAGTTCATAAGTCGAGGCACCACTGTATTATAGATTATTTCAAAGGTTTTATTGTTCTCAGTTTTTAAAGGAAATATTAATCTGAATAAGTGACAGGTATTCAGAACAGGTATTAGACGGGTTCTAGAGCATAATGGAAAATAATAGCAACATTTACCAGCTAAAATTAAATTAACACCAAATACTTAAGAGTTATAGTTGGAAGGATTTTCTTCTTTCTACTAAAGATGTACACTTAAGAAAAGAATAGAAAAATATAACTGAAATTCAAAAAACAGTTTGGGACTCTTGTTTATTTTAATGAGCTCTGACTGTACCAACTGTATCAATAGTCAATCTGTGACCACTCCTTATATGTTATCCTCAAAGACAGCTACAGAAAGGTACACGGTGGCCTTCACACAACCAAAACCTACAGGCTTATCTTATTTCACTTCCACTTTTACATATCATTCTATACACTGTGAGGATAAAGTTATGAGATTGGTTGGAAGGAAAAATAAAAATAGGTATTTACATTTCAGGGTAATGCAACACATTATTCAGGGTTTATAAATCATTACCCCCAAAGCACTCTGTTTTATGGAAATGAGACAGGTGCCAAACGGCCAAGCACTGTTATTAAGCATCTGTCTTCTTGGCAGCTTTCGACACAACAGTGAAACCCTTTAAACAGAGATTGTAGACAAAAATGGCCCTGCATGTGGTTGGCACTACAGAAACTCAGCTGCACTTAATATAGTCTTCTTCAATGTCTCAGGCATTCAAAGTAATAAAAAAAAATAGGTGGAGAAGTTAGCTTGGGGATTTCCTGCATTTCAATTACTCTCACTAGCAATACACAAAATTTCTGTTCCATCTGTATTTTACTCATTTCCACTGAACAGTCTTGCTATAGAAATACAGACGATTGTGGTGCAAAGCGGCACTATACACGAGACATAACTAGATGTTGGGAAATGAGAGCAGGAAGGTGATAACTGCACATCCTAGTGGCATCTTTTTCTACTCGGATGGAATAGAATGCTGGAATAGATAGGGACTGGTTTCATCCTGCACAATTCTTATGATTTTACAGGATCTAAAATGTGCTAAAAAATTTCCACTTTAATATCTTATTCTTCACAGAGTTTCAGATGCTTGTAAACAAAACACTGTCTCTCAGCCTAAGCTCACAGTTGCAATACAGTTATAATACAACTTTGCAGAATTGTTGTAAAAATTACTATTGTATATGACCTGCTGCAAACAATGAAGTGCTGTATTTATAATAAATAGCATTACTTTTCTATTCAGGCAACTGACTTCATCCTGACTTTTATGGGTTTTTTGCCTCCAAGAAAGTACCTTATTTCATGCACTGAGGTTTTTTTTTTTTTTTTTACATATTTTAAGAATTTCTCTTTTAAGAACTGCAGTTAGTTGCTTGTGAATGTTTCTGCTTCTTCCGCACTTTGGAGGGTAATGTGTACTGGTTCGTATAAACCCTGAGTTCCTTCTGTTTAGATAACTGCTTGTCAACAAAATTCCCCTCAAAAGGTCTGTGTAGTTATTAATGAGCACACATCATGAAAGCCAAGTACACATTTTAACAGCATGGAATATTACAGTTAAAAGCAAAGTAGTAAGATATTAATTTTAAAAAAAGACCAAGATTTCTCCACTCACTTGACTCTTCTTCCAAAGTAAAGCGGGACTCTCGTATCTATGGGGGATTGATTCCAAGCCCGCCTACCCCACACACAAATGGTGAAAAACATGGATTATAGCAAATGCTACAATGAACCCTATATATAGCTTGGCCTCTGTCTCCCTCTAATGGCCAGTTCTTGTAACTTCATCATTAGAAACATATTTTCAGGAGTTTTCTTTTAATATTTTCAGACTGTGGATAAGTGAATCAGTGGATACTGATCCCAAGGATAAGGGGATCCTACTGTATTTCTTCTCCCTTTCACCATATCTTCCCAGAACAAGAAGAGGCATCTTCCAGGGTTTACGAGTATATTTTTATCCTTATAACTCAGCTGGTTCCACACCTCCTGCCACTGCACTACCAAAATAAGGCAGCATGACAGCAGCAGAAAAGCCACATTGGACAATCTTTCACTTCAAACATGCATATTTAAAATGCCTTGACATGAACACAGCAGTGAATTTAAAGGAAAGGTAGTGGATTTTGTTTGTTTGTATGTTGTTGTTGTTGTTTGCCATCACTGCTGCCTCAAAAAAAAAAAAACACCAGGGAGGGCATGGGGGTAGAGGTGACCTGCAGGCTGCTTGTTGCCCATTGTCAAAGACAAAGACCCCATGAGAAATTATATTACTTTCTCAGTGAATACTGTGAATACTCTTGCTTTTTCTAGTGTCACACACTAGGTAATTTCACTACATAGTGACAGCTTATGTCTGCAATTCATTTAGAGATAAAGGCAAGGGTAGCATACCCAAGGAACTGGGTTTTATTTCTCCTGAAATTTTGAAACCACAACAACCACTCTGGAACAATGAACAGAGGATTACATGTGCTCGTTATCTCTAACAAAAAATGTTTATTTAAACATTTTAAAGTCTTTGGAGCTAGAGGATATGGTATGTTGGCTATTTATTCTGAAAGCAAATCCTGGAAACTTACCTCATCAGGAACCATACATGCAGAAATATTCCTCCAGGGAATGGTGGAATTCTCCTCCAGCAACCACGTGCCCTCAAGTGTACAGAAGCGGTAAACCTGCCCTATCCAGAACAAAAAAGCACACAATGAAGGGGTAGTTGTATGACAAAATAGCAAAAGCAAAATTGAACCAACCTAATGTTTTCCTTAATATTCTTCAAAAAGTACATATTCACCCACAAGTACTGATATAAAAGCATGTCGAACTCCTTAAAGTACATTACATGGCAGGATTCAAAGTAACCAGGGCCTAAAATTGAGTATGAAGAGAAAAAGCTGAGTTGTATCTTAGGTATCTGATCCTGATTTGTCCCAAACCAGATAACCATGATTTACACATTCAAGGTAGGTCAGGTGAAGTCAATAACCACAATCTGAACTAATGATCTGAAGTAGGCTTGCAAACCACAGTACTGTATGCGCTGTGTTTTGCTCTTATGCTGAATTGATAGATTACTGCCAAACTATAGACAGAGTCATTGTTCTGATGCAAAAGCCTGCTGCATCATAAAGATGGAAGTGAATTTAGGAAGCTGATTCCTGAAGACATGGGAAACAAAGTCAGACAATCACTGTTACCTCTGCTATATGCCTAGAAGTTCTGTATAAGTGGCTTTTCATTATGTTTGATTGGTCACTAATGCCTCTTTGCTATTAAGCAGATTTTTTTAAAAAATGTGGTTTAAAACATTGAAATTGTAATTATGTATATATGTGTTCTACAGTCTTTTAAAGTTATGTTGTAAGGGAAGTACATTCAGAAAGTTAGGTTGCAAATCTCAAAATGAATTATTTTAAATAAGTAATATATGCCACACCACAGGAGTCAATCTACACTGATATAGGGAAGTAATCAAAACTGTGCACCAAACAACAAGCTATTTGGACCACAGGAGTTCAAAAGAAATGACTATGCATCTGTGATTTGTACCAGTTCAGAAAACAATGGAATGTATCACTTGATATGACACAAACCAAAACTGAAGTAACTCACAGGCCATTAAATTCTACAAAGTTATACAATGAAAGAGTGACTCTTTTATGGGCGAGCCTTTTATGGGTGAGTCACTCTGCTGCACTATCATGTTGCTTAATCAAAACAACTTTAGGCTGAAGTCCAGCTATTGTCCCTTTGCTTCTTCTTAGAGCTGTTGCACTGAAGAGTCTACAATGGGGTAGATCAATAAGCATTTAAAACGTACACAGGAGAGAGCAATATTCTACAAGTTATGTTGTTAAGCTGCACAATTAGGCTGGGGCTTTGATTTATTTAAATCTCTATATAATGTCCTATCAGACACAAAAGTTAGTTTCTTCGACACAATAATCTTAATAGAGCCTGTTTGCTCTGATTCCCTGTCAATTACACCTTATTAGTATTAAATGTTTAAAGATATGGATTGTTGCCTAGAATTCTAGGAGTCCCTGTATGCTGATAAAAGACTGAGAAGGGATGGCAATAGTTAGAACCAGAGTTAATGTCATCATTTATCTTGTTTTAGGATGAGCCTGTAAATCAAATCAAACACTACATCTGGCTAAGCACTTTTATATATAGGAAAATATGTTATCACATGCCAGGAGGCACACAAATATTTCATTAGCAACTCCCTTATGATGGAAATAAAAAAAGAACAAATTAAATGCTTTTCCTGATAAAACAACCAACCTGATCTGCATTTTGCTACAGCTGTGTGTCAGGAATGGTAGGAGATTAGTCACCCAATTGTCCTTTGGAATAAATTGCCACATAATTTATCATAGCAACAAATTGCAGCGTGTTCCAGCCTATCAAATATTCTCCAGCCAGCAAAAGACCACTTGATACAGTTTTTCCTCAGTGCACTGTATGTGCATTTTGAACATTGTTAAATTCTCCCTAGTTCAAAACCTTTTCATAATTCATATAAGGGGAAATGTCCTGGAAAGGCTAACAGTTTTCTTCCAGAAGGCAGTGGTGAATCTGTTGTTTATGAGGAATGGCAGAATTTGCCATGGTAGATTGACTTGCAGTTCACTGACAGATGACTTTGCCCTTTAGTGGCAAATGACCATTCCTGTGACAAAACACGGGAATTTGTTCTTCTTTGAAGTAGTTCAGTGAACCCACATAAACCTACATTTAACACTCAGACAGCATAGAAGTTTCCAATAACCTTCTTTGTGTCATAAACAGTGTAATTTGTATTCACGTAACTTCACATAACCCTTCTATTGAATCACCCAAAGTCATGTACACCTACTGCTTCTTTTAATGCCACACTTTTCCTTTGTAACTGGAATAATGGCAAAAAGATATATCACGGCAAAGTCTCATTAAAACTGAAAAGAGGCTGAAGTACTTGAGAACCAATGGTAATGGGAAGAAGCCAGCATAATTGTGCTTACCTCAGAGATTATGCATAGTTGAATTTACCACACATTTCTGCTCTTAGCAATTATAAAAGTTTAAAACGGAAAGGAGAGTTCAATGGAAAATATTAACACTAGGGTTATGTGAAGAATCTAATTTTAGTTCAAAGTTTGAAGGTCTCAAATAGGTCCACACCTCCCAGATGATACATGGGCAAGATGCAATTTGGACGCCAGAATATTTACACTGAAAAATAACTGCACATACTTCTGAAGAAAAAAAACTATTGAAAAGTGTGCATAAACAATTTACACATTCCAAATGCAGTCAAATCACTACTAAAAAGCTTTAGTAGGGAATGCATAAAAATGCATGTAATATTGAAAAAGAACAAATTTGATAAACATGTGCAAATACAACAATCAATTTCATCCTGCAAAATGGATGAAATAACAAAGCTGGATATGGACCGGATGTGAATTGGGGGGAAATCTGTGGATGAGGGGCTTGAAGTTGTAAACTGAAGATGTACAGTGAGAAGACAGCATCAGAATTAACATCCTGAATGTATAGCTCAGTGCCATCTTTTAAAGGAAATGAAGCTAAAATTCTATTTTACCTATGAAATATACAGTTGTGTGAAAAAGAAAGTAAATTCTCTCTGAATGTTATGTGTGGCCAAATTACTTACCCCTTATGACAAATCAATGAATTAGTGATTTCTGAAATGTCCTATCATACACAGTCCTTGTATTTGTTCTTCCTTGTTTCCTGCTGCTCTCAATGTTTGCCAGTATTATTGCCTTTCCACTGAATCTTGTCTTCGCATGATGTATCCAAAGTATCAAAACCTTAGTTTAGTTATTTTAGGGGTTTGTTTGTTTGTTTGTTTAGTCTCTGGTATTTATAAAGTTCTATTCCAATATCACTTTGAAATAAATTGACTTCTGTCCTGTCAGCTTTCTTCACCACTCAGCTTTAACACTCTTACAGAGTAATTGGGAACACCATAGTAGAGATGGTCTTGGCCTTCATCTCCAGTTAACACATCCTTCCATTCAGGGATCTTTTCTAGCTGCTTCATAGCTGCCGTCCCAAGTATCAACCTTCTTCTGATTTCTTTGCCACAGTTTCAATTTTGATTGATGACTGAGTTTAGTTTCTAACTACCCTGTATCAAAATTTGGAATACTGCAGACTGCACGATTCATTTGTGTTTAGACCGAAAAAGGTTCAGTAACCCTGGTTCCTCCCATCCAGTTCACTGCAGAAGACAAGTTTACAGAATACTGTACTGCATTTGTATTCACTCAACAGGGACTTTCCTCCCTTGCTTAATTAGACTCCAGAGATGATCATCATCAAGCTGCTTTCACATATACAGAGCCAATCCGTCTCACTGCAAAAGCAATTATGCTGATTGAGCACTAGTTTCTGTTCCTCCCAAAGTCACTTCACGTTACTCCAATTGTCAGAAAGCAAAGTAAATTAGCCCCAGAAGTGTAAAATGAAGCTGGAAGAAAACCAGAAATTGCTGTCATTATCTTCAAGGAAAAGCTATAAAAAGTGGGTTCCCTCATAAACATGACGCCATTAAGGTTTTTTTTCTTGCTGAAATAAAATTTAAGGTGATGAATAGAAATTCTAAAAGTCAACATTTGGAGCATGTTTGAGGGATAAACCTTTTATCAGTAGCACTTCCAAAATAAGTAGCAAGGGTCTGCGCCTCTTGGGGAATATTTGGCCTATAACAAAAAAGCTCCCCAGAGGATCATCATCAATAAAATATGGTGATGTGAAAGGGTAACAATGCAAATACAAACCATTGTGCCCCAAATGAAATAGCCCCAATGCTTAATGAGAGGCAAATGATTCCATTTCACAAACCTTAGCATTTTGCAAACTGGTTTGTGGAAATGAAACTATTAATATTTTATAAAGCATTGATGCATTTTAAGCTCTTTATCAGCTTTGTCTTGTTTGTACCAGTTTTTATTTGTCTCTCTCAATCTGAAGCAGATTTCTATTAACCCCATTTCAGTTATGTTACGTTGGGGCTGGAATTCAACCGAAAGAATCCTGTATTGTTATCCCAGAAAGGGATGTAATGGCTGAAAAGTGCTTACATCAGCATAGTCCAAATAAACTTCCTTGCCAACCTGAATGTCCCGTGTCAAGTACGTATGTCTATAGATTGACAATCTAGATTTTCAATCTATCCAGCTCTAATGTATCATTCTCTCCTGCTTCAGAATTCAGAGAAAGCCTCGCCTCTCTGCTCAGTGCCTTTTGCTCTCAAGGGTCTACTGAGGTCTGTTGATGAAAAGCAGGCATGTTTGCTTTTGATCTGTTCAACTGTAAGTAATGAAACCTTTTATTCTTTTTCCTCTTAATGTCTCAGAGTAAATTATTGAGGGTGTAAGGGCCAGGTAATGAGAAAAAGCAGTAACCTAGACTGGGGATCTGGAAGCTATTCTGCTCTGCGAATCCCTGCACTTCTGCTGGACAGGAATAACAGGAAGGATGTAAAGCAACTTGAAGACTGCTGTACTTGTCTGGCAGATGGTATTCAATTTGACATATGGATCCTAAGTTCTGCTAACCCATTCTGACATTTGAATGCTGAAAATCAGATTCAGAGAGTGCAAGACTACAACTTTAGGAAAATATACTTGCAGTCCTCAGAACGTCTACCATGTAGGGAAAATG